TACTTCCATAGCTGATCACCCTTCATAACCCTTCTCACGTGTGCCTTGGATCCTTATCAATCACCACACGTGTGAGGACCACCCTTGGCACTAATCCTCTGTTTCTTCTTTCTAACGTACACCCTATGCACCTTATCAGTTTAAAAACTGTATAGGTTTAGTACTTCTGCGTTGATGCATTCGACTTAAGCATATATATCGTCTAGCTACGTAGCAAAAGTAACAGTACTTACATGCATGCATTTTGGTTTGTAGTATTTTAAGGCAGGATACTGTAAGAGAGGCTCAGACTGTAAGTTTAATCACCCTAAGGAAAAGGATGCTGCGGAGAATGTATTGTTCAATGATCCTGCAGGTTTACCTATGCGTAAGGTAAATTGATTATGAATACTGTATTATTATTCTTAACTGAGTTTTTTTCTCCAAGGGTGATTTGTTTGAATTTGATTCTCAGGGCAAAACTCCAAGTTTGAGACCTAATGATTCAGAGAGGAGGTACGAAAGAGAAGCAAGATCCAGGCAAGAGATGCGGGTAAGGGAGCTGAACAAGAACTCACGTCCTCAGACTAAAATTCAGGATCGGAGAGGGATGACTAAAACAAGAGAAAGATGCCGTGAGTTGGATTTACACAAGCAAGCACAGGTACAAAAAAAAAAAAAAAAAAAGAATATGACCGGCTTTGATGTTCTTAGTTAAGCTTACTGAATAACAAAAAGTCATGACTGTGACCTGATCACTTTGATGTTCTCAACGTACAGGAAGCAAGGAAAAAATGGATTGAGTTGGAAAGAAGAGCTGCGCGCATAAAACTTGACCAGGTTTGTTTATTTAGTCGAATCATGCATCAACATTTTGATAAGATCTATTACATATTTACATGACAAAAGATTCTAATGTGAAAATCTTAATTACATTTGACAAAAGATTGAAATAAATTAAGATTTATATTTACATGACAAAAGATTAAGATAAATGTAATAAATATTTATATTGAAATCTTAATTTATTTGTCATGTAAATATAAATCTTAATTTATTTGAAATCTTTCTATTAATTGAAATAAATGTAATAAATATTTATATTGAAATAAATATAAATCTTAATTTAAGAAAAATAATCATCCGAGAGAGTCCCCTTGGACCGAGATAATTTGGTCAAAATCCCTAATTAGAATTTTCCCGCCAGAGTTGTGAAAAGAAAGATGAAGAAAACACACCTCCTCGATTTGTCGATACAGTCCAGGCTCTCCTCTGAAATGTTCCAGTCAGGACGAAATTAGGGTTTCATTGTTCATCCTTTTTCAGAATCGTAAATGGGTATTCAAGGGCTTTTGCCGTTGCTGAAATCGATAATGGTACCGATGCATATCAAGGAGCTTGAGGGTTGTATCGTCGCCGTTGATACATATTCATGGCTACACAAAGGGGCTTTATCTTGTAGCCGAGAGCTCTGCAAAGGATTACCCACCAAGAGGTTCGTCTCCCTCTCTCTCTCTCTCTCTCTATTTCCCTTCTCTCCAAGTTACTTGATGAATCCCAGATGTAGATCGATTGAGTTTTTTTTTCCCCCAAAATTAGAAACTGGGTTTCTTTGTCTCTAAGTGTATGGTCCTGTTTTGTTGAATACACCCTGAAAAATCAAACCTTTTCCTGGTTAAGATTTGATGGGCTTTCCGATTTCAATCTCTTCAGGATGTTGGGTAAACCAAAAGCGAAAGATTTGAATGTTTTAGAATTCTCACCAGGAGCCTAGTAGGGTTTATAGATTGATATTTCGTTTAGACATGAGTGATTAACTTTAGTTATGGTGGTTCCTGTCCATTTCTCGTGGAATCAAAACGCAATTTACATAGTAATTCATTCATGTTTGTTAAACCAAAACGTAAATGTCATTTCTTAGGTTGCTGGAAGAGAATGAAATTTAACAATAGTGATCTTTAAGATTTGTTCTGTTGTTACTGTTCTGGTTCTGATTTTGTGGAAGGTAATGGGTTTACTGGTGTCTTTCAAATTCAGGCATATCCAATATTGTATGCATAGAGTGAATTTACTCCGCCATCATGGAGTGAAGCCTATTCTGGTCTTTGATGGAGGTCCCTTACCGATGAAACTAGAACAAGAGAATAAGCGTGCTAGGTATGCAATCATTGGCCATCTAGTATGATCGATATGTTGTTTCTTGGTTATCATTAGACATGTATGCAAAGGGGACATGTATGCAATCATTGGCCATCTAGTATGCAATCGATCTGTTGTTTCTTGGTTATCATTAGACAAGTTTCACACCAAGTCCACTTTTTCCCTGTAACAATCAAGTTCAGGTCCAGAAAGGAAAATCTTGCACGTGCATTGGAGCATGAAGCTAATGGAAATTCCTCTGCTGCTTATGAGTGCTATTCAAAGGCTGTTGACATATCACCTTCTATTGCGCATGAGTTGATACAGGTAACAGTAAGCTGGATAACTTGTATTCTTCTCCAGATAAAAAGGATTTATATTTGTCCTTAATTGCTTTGTTTTCCATCTCTTTAATCTGATGTTTTTCTACCTTTGAAGGTTCTGAGACAGGAGAATGTTGATTATGTTGTTGCTCCTTACGAAGCTGATGCACAGATGACCTTCTTAGCTATTAATAAGCAAGTTGATGCAATCATCACTGAGGATTCGGATCTCATACCTTTTGGCTGCCCAAGAGTAAGCTTCCTGTCAAACCATGCATGAGATATTGTAGTTTATCAGTATTTCCACTTGATTACTTGTTAATTCCTTTTCAATCCCGGTGAATTACCATCAAGACTTTAACTGCTATTTTTTATGTCACAGATCATTTTTAAGATGGACAAGTTTGGTCATGGTGTTGAGTTTCAAGCTTCCAAGCTACCGAAAAATAAAGATCTCAGTCTTTCGGGATTTTCAAGCCAAATGATTCTTGAAATGTGCATATTAAGTGGCTGTGATTATCTGCAGTCACTTCCAGGAATGGGACTCAAAAGAGCTCATGCTCTCATCACAAAGTTCAAAAGCTATGACAGAGTATGCATTCTCTTCTCACTTGATTTTTTCTTACAGAAAGTAATTAGGTAAAGCAAGAGCATGATTAATTCAAAAAGTGGAAACTTTACCACAAATTCTTAGAAAAGAAGCTCTAGGTTTTCCTGCATCAATCCTATATACGTAGTTTTGGAAACGAGTTTACTTGTGTAACATGTTGCTAGTTTGCTTTCAGGTAATTAAACACTTAAAGTACAGCACAGTTTCAGTTACCCCTGGTTATGAGGAGTCATTCAAGAGAGCTTTACTGACTTTCAAGCATCAACGTGTCTATGACCAAAAAACTGAAGATATTATGCACTTGTCTGGATTTTCTGACAACCTTGGCGAAGATTCAGATTTTGTAGGCCCATATCCTTTGAGACAAGTATTTTGCCTCCATTTATAAAAACTGATAGGAATATTTAAAACGGATTTCTTAACATTATTCACATTAATGCCACAACATATTGCTAAAGGTATAGCACTAGGCCAGCTTGATCCATTCACACAGTTGCCATTCCAGGTAGTTAATTGAATTCTCTCTATTTCTAATCTCTCCCTCTCATTCACACCCAGAGATGTTTTCTTGATTCGTTGTCTTGGTTTCTTAAATGAATAGGCTGAGAGTGTTACTCCTAAATTGGCGGTTGATGATATTTCCTGTCCCAAAAGTTTCAAACCTGAAATTCTGAAGAAAAAGCTTGATTTACCAGTCCAGAAAAATCTTCTCACCAAGTATTTCTGTATCCTTTAATGTGACCTCCATATCTTTCATTTTGTGGAAATTTTTCACCTTTGGAACTTGGTTCACTTTGTTTAGTAGGATTCTGTATATCTTTAAGAGTCTTATAGCTGTTGAAACTGGCGATATTTGATATGGTCAACTTGTTCTTCACTTAACAACTTAAAGGCTTTGCATCTATTGAGGCCAAAAGGAAATTCAAGGCTCCTAGGATATCTCCAATGTCTCTGACCCCAACTGGTGAGTCTCCAAGCACTCCTGAGGATAACGCAACAAATGTAGATGCTCTCTCAAGTCAGATAACAAATGAATCCCCGGGTTATGGCTTGGTAAGTAACTAGAATAACTACAGTCAAACTCTCGGAATTCGTAGCACAAGTTCTAATCCCTGTGTTTTCAGGGTAAAAATGCATACGTTAGCGAAGTTGCTGAGGAAAGAAGTTCACACGACAATGGTACGATTGCTTTCGTTTCCACAACTGAGAAAAATTATACTCTAAATTTTCTATCCTGGCTCATCTTTTACGTGTCACTATCTTGAAGATGCAAAGGAAAGGAATTACAAGGACCTTGAACATAAGTACGTCGAACCTGAAGTGGTGAGGCCGAAGACAGATAGTTTGAAGGTTGTAGTAAGGAGCAAGTATTTTAAGCACAAGCAGGAGGGAAGTCCTAAACAATCGTTCTCATGTCTCAATGATTGCTCTGTGAGTGGTCAGAAAAAAAATGCTAAAAATGTGATTGACATGTCAAGTGCGTGTAGAAGAGAAGACAGTGACAGAACTATAGCAACAAGTCCATGTTTCCCTCATGAGGAAATTTATAACGGTCATGAAAATGCCAAAGAAGCGAGTTTCTCTGCCATGAACGAAGTTGCTGGCAGTGGCAGAACCACAAACATCCACAAGATAGATAATCAGATCGATAAAGAAGAACAGAACCCATCCATTGAGATCCGTTCTGCTTTTAGTACTCCCCAGAATGTAATACCTCTCTCTTCCATTGCTATTAATAGTTTTCATGGAGCTGCAACAGGGAAGAGAAAGTTTGACTCAGATGAAAACCTTCAGAAGGTTAGATAGAATTGTTCTGCTAGCCCATGTCCATTTTGTTTATAAGCCATTTATTAACTTCTCTAGCCATTTCAGGAAAATTTGAATTTCAAGCACATGCGCATGGGTGAAAGTGATCCTGGTAATCATAGAATTTCCTTCCCTCTAAATACTTGTATCTGTATAATTGTTATATATGCACTGAGATCTATGACTAAATCTATTTTTTGTGGCATGTACTACTATACTGTGAAGCTCTAAACACAGAAACATCATTTGGAACTGACGACGTTGAGAAGTTTGGATCAAACATTTCACATATTGGGCATTACTCAGAAATAGCAGAGAAATCAGTGGAAAAATTTGTCTCAGCTATATCATCTTTCAGATATTCAGTGTCTGGCTCTCGTGCTAGCGGTCTCCGTGCACCTCTTAAAGATATCCGCAACACTTGTCCATCATCTAAAGGGTAAGCATTTTTGACCCCTCAAAGTTGACTATCTTCAGTAGTTAATGGTGATTGATTCAATAGTCTCAAAGAGAAGTATTTGTTTTCCTTATTTGGTTGTGTAAAAAAGAAACAGGTTATCTCCTAGACCAGACTTCAGCAAGTTTGGTTACACGTCAAGTAACCTAGACAAGGTAACCAAGTCAAGGCGATTGTGAGCTCAGGAAATGTAAGTTAATCATCTCTTTAGGGCCACATGTTAGAGTTTTAGCTGTGGGAATCAACTTGCTTGGTCGCAAACTCGCAATGATATGGTTGTTGTTTTGAATGATATTGTATCTGTTAGCTATTCACTGTGCAGAACATTTTTGTTATAGATTCTTTACACAACAACTTGATTGATTGATTCATAAATGAAAAGTACTTTCAACTTGTCTTATCTCTAGGAAAATTAATAAACTTCTGAAGATCATTTTCATAAAGTGAAGTTTGCAGAGATTTAAAGGCAATATAGTGTGCAAGTGCAATAAATGTGATCTTGGAGCCAAGCCATAGATAGAGCTTTTAAGAGGATGTAAATGAGAAAAAGACAAGCTAAACTTACTTCTGTATCAAATGATTTATAGGATTGTTTGTTTGCACACGTATAGGGGAAAAACTTGTGGCTAAAAAGGTATGCACGTGAACGCAAAAAGAAACATATCATTTGTGTGTGAAAGAGAGAGTCCAATCAGATTCTGACAGTTTGGATCATCAAACTCGAAGTTTCTGCTTTTTCTCACACAGACACATGGTCCAGTTGTACTTCCACGTCATCTCACTTATTTTTGCTGTCTTTTTTCTAATTTAGTAAAAATTCGTTTTAGTAATCTCGTAGACTACACAAACAAAAGATAGAAAGAAAGGTGTTTATGAGGAAAACAAGAAAAACAAATAAACGTTTTTCTTAATAACAAGAAAATATACAGTATGTTTATATATATACACACCATTATATATATGGGATATATAAATTAATTTTCAAATAACAATTTATTTTATTTTTACACGATACATTGAATCGTTGTTAGTCACGCTATAATTTGACATAGAAAAAACTTTGGTCTTTTCATTTTTTTGTGAAACGACAGACAAGGAGAATTTTATGTAATTATAGTGTTGACTCATTATTTTCTTGTCGGATTTATAAAAATAAATAAACGCATGATTTATAAGAAAACTAAAGCTGCCTAATCTAAGACCAGGCATGTTAGATTTGAATATTAGCATACAATCTCTGTTAAAAGTATAAAACATTACTATAATATAAGCAATTACGAATGTGAAAAATAAGCTTAAAAGTTAAAAATATTAAAATGTAGAGTTTAGCGAGTAAGAAAAGTTAATGGATAAGAACATGGCTAGATGCATGTGCCGTCGTCGGCTTATAATCATGTCATCATGTGTCAAAGTATATACACGAGAATACTAACATTCCCCATTAGGGATGGCTCGTAAGAAAAAAATAAAATACTAGTAGTTAAGATAGTTTTTACACCTTTAATGATAGTTGCTAATTATTAAGCTCCAAATGCCAATTTTATAAGGTTTGAATAATTGGTTTGAACATATAATTTTATGTTTGATAAAGAACATCATATATATTTTTATCAAGTTGGTTTTTGTTGACTATCAAGTTTTTATTTTACTATTGCATCTCCGTACCAATTTCATTATATATAGAAGAACTAGTCAGCTAAATATCTAATATAACTAGAGAAAGATAGACCTGATGGTGTAAATAAATATATATCTTCAGAAGTTGATAAAAAAACTTACTTGACCATATCATTTTGCTCTCAAATACATTCACTACATTTGCAAATTTCAATTATAGTTAACTTGTAGTAATGATGTTATAAACGTAAAAAAACAAATATACCTAAAGTTTCACATATTCTTAAAATAACGTCTGGACTTGTTTCTAGATTTTTCAAAAATTTTAATAAAAAAAATAAATATATATATATATATATATATGGAGTAAAATAAAAATAATGCAATATTATATATATGGAGTAAAATAAAAATAATGCAATATTTTTGTCGAGTAGAGATGTCACACACACCGGCAAGAAATGTCTCTTTCTTGATCTCTCTCTTAATCAATTAGAACAGAACAGCTGGTTCTTCTATTCGTCTTTTGTCTTCTTCATCTTCATTAGAGAAAAAATAAAAAAATAAAACTCCAAAACTCCTGCAGAGATCTTCATAACTTAATTCAATCTTACCCAAAAAATAACGTATTCAAGTTTACTCAGAAGGAAAGAAGAATTGATGAAAGAACAATTATATTAATCAAAAGTAACTTGAATTTTTTTTTCTTTTTTTTTTTTTATAACTATTACAATCATAAAGGGAATCAAAATTAAGAATAAACAAGGACATAAATGTTCTTCTTTTTTTATTTTTGACATTTTCCTTTGACATTTTTCTTTGTTATTGGATGGAGAATTTTAAAGGATTTTAATTACGGGTGGATTTTAAAGTTCAATAGCCTTTAAATACAATTAAGATGGATTTAGTATGAAAGAGATGAAATCTTTTGAAAAGTGTTAGGATTGTGTTTGTACGTGTTTTAGATGTAAAATACATTAAAATCTTAAAGAAAACAAAATCCATTGAAAATTGAATAACGCTTGTTTTAAAATACTTTAAAATACATCCAACAAATGTTAAATCCAATAACAGCAGATTTTATTGTGGTTTTTAAAATTCATCGTTAAATAACGCTAAATTTTGAAATACATCCAAATCAATTAAAATACAAGGTTGAATAACACCCCCCTAAAAAGACAAAACAATTACGAGAATCGCTGATTACTTCAACTAAAAAAACAAAACAAAAAAAATATGGAATATCGAAAAATAAAACCGGGTTCGGTCCGATCAAGCTTCCAAAAAACCGGTTAACCTGAGAACGGAGTTACGAACACGGCTGAGATCTCGTCCTTTAAGAGTTCTTCCGTTACCTGTACAAACGGAAAACGCCATTTGTCCTCCTTCCACCCTCCTTCCTATTATCAAATGCGGCGGTTCTATCATCCTCCTCCTCCTCCCTCCGTCGTCATCGGAATCCTCCTCATCCGACGACGACGAAGAATACCTCCTCATCATCGGTATATTCACCGGAACCGAACTCGAATACGGCGACGGCAACGGCGTCGTTTTGCTCCTTATTCTTGACTTGTTGTTAATGCTCCTCATTACCTCAGAGTTATCCCGGAAACTCACCGGAAGATTCTCTTTCTCATTGCCGTCTTCTCTCCGGCGAATCGGGAAGTAATTATCAGAGAAAATAATCTCAGATTCGTCGAACTCTTCCGACATAATTTTTCAAGAAACTCAGTTGTGTTCAATTTTAAAAAAATGGGTTTTAGAAATAAAGAAAAGTAATTTAAGGGTTTAAGAATGTTACAAACAAAAAAATTTAAGGGTTTAAGAAGAATTAAGAGAGTTAATAGAAGAATAATAGGAAGAAGAGAGAACAGTACGAAGAAGAAGAAGAAGAAGAGAGGAGAGGGGTTTATATAAGAGAAGACAAGGAAACGTAGAGACTACTCTAACCTTGTGGTGATATGATGATGTCATCATAATGGCGTTGAGTGCGGACCCCGCTTTGCTCTTTCCTATATATATTTTGTATGTATACGTTAGATTCGTATTCATTAATTACTTTTTTATTTTCCTTTTTTTTTTTGTTTGTCTTATCTACTACATTTGTATGAAGAGTTATTTACAAAAAAAAGTATAGAAATACGGATGCCTTTCGGAAAGAAGTACTGTGCCTACTAAACTTCAGATTTAAGTACTTGGGTTTTCGAAAATTACTATATTATCCTTAATATATGACATCATACAACTCATACTCAATGGTTGATGCTAATGGTTTTGTTACACTAATGATTTTCCAGTTTCCACATACGACAAAATTAATTAAACACTCAAAATTATTTGGGTTATATAAAAAAAAAATTGTTGTGAAAAGATGATGTCCACGCAAAGAAAATACACAGTAGAACTCATTCTGCTTTCACAAATCTGTTCAATCTCCCATACTATTTATTTCTTGAAAAATACTTGGATTTTCATCTATTTTTAATTAATCAATCAAAATACAATAATATGTCATATCATTTTCTGTTTAAAAATAAATCAAAATTAAAATTAATAAAATAAAACAATTAAGAGAAAACTTGTTGTAAGATTTTTATTAAGAAAATTACATTCAATTTGGGTTGATAAAATAGTAGTTAGGGTTTAAATTTTATAAATAAATAAAATTATATTTTGGTTTGGGTTTATAATATAGTAGTTAGGGTTTAGATTTTATAAATAAACAAAATTATATTTTGGTTTGGGTTGATAAAATAGTTGTTGGGGTTTAGTTTTTGTAATTAAACAAAATTATATTTTGGTTTGGGTTCGTAAAATAGTAGTTAGGGTTTAGATTTTGTGATTAAACGAGATTATATTTTGGTTTGGGTTGATAAATAATGGTTAGGGTTTAGATTTTGTAATTAAACGAGATTATATTTTGGTTTGGGTTGATAAAATAATGGTTAGGGTTTAGATTTTGTAATTAAACGAGATTATATTTTGGTC